GAGGTTGATAAGGCAATTTTTATCAGTGATGCGTCGAAATTTAGTGGAGCTCCAAATAATGAATCATCAAAAAAAATTCAAATTTATAAGAAAACGAGGACACCCATAAAGAAAGCAAAAGGAAAGCTGCACATAAGTCCAATAGAGTACAAAAATACGACAGATGATACGATAATGTTAATGAATGGCCCAATGAAGGAAACCAAATCGCCCAGAGGCGGAGCCCAAAAACAGTGGGAGCAGGTTAACTCCAAAAGTAACCCTTTTTGCTTTCACCATCCTGTGATATCAGCCCTTGTAAATTGGAATTTGTACCCGTAACACTGCTACAAATAATAAAAAATTTTCTTTCCTACATAATATTCTTGCAAGCAGTCGTGCCAATCCATTGTAAAAAAATTTTTATTCATATTGCACTTCTCTTGTAGGAATACTTTTTAAACCATTTGTTTAAAGGGAATCTTTCCAAGAGTATTTGCTTCTAATCGTTTTATACAGGGTACTTAAAAAAGAAAAACGAGAACAATTACTTAAGATAATACTTGAGAGGAATATTTATTTAAAATGGCTCTAAAAAGGCGACACCAGACCAACTGAAGATCTAAATTCTTTATATAAAATTATCAAGGATTCGAGATCAAGTCGATCATGTTGCTGGCAAATATGAGAGGTAGCTGACCTCAGTTACTGAGAAACATGGAAAACTAATTTCGCATCTAAAAAGGTCTCTCGAATCACTTGCTAAAGTCAATGGGTAATTTAAGAATGAAATGAATAATTTCAAAATACGTGGAGGGTAACGTCCTTCCATTAGTTCTACAAATAATTTGATGGAACAATTGTTGGAAAGTATCGAAGAATATTTCGAAAAAAAGGAGAATGAGCCCCATGTAGCTGGCAAATATGCCAGAAATGCCTGCAGAAGATGAAATTGCTGCATATAGGCTGCTGGCAGAGAAAATTACCGCAGCCGCTGGAACCAAAATTGATAATATTAAATTCGCTCGCATGGATTAAAATTAGATTTTTAAAATTCAATTCAATCAAAATTCGTTTAGAAGATAAATATATCTATCCACATCTGCTTCCGTAGCAGGAACGTCCGCTTGGTGTGCAAAATGAAAGTTTTTTGGAAAAGTATTTAGCCAAAGGGGAATTAATATAATACTGTAGAAGTAACTGCGAAAAGAATGTTATACTCGTAACCAGAACCTTAATATAAATAACCTTAATATATGTAGTAAGAAGTGCTCGAATAGTATTCGTAAAATTAAGTTAGCCTCGCCAGTGGTTATGACCTCACTGCCTTTTTCTGGTCAGATTACCACATTAGCCTTCGGCCATGCAGGGTTAATATCATAAGGAATTGTCTCTATATATATTTAATGCAACCACGGTATCATCCATATATCAATAAAACTAAATTATTATACACCTCCTCCCAGCTCTTTTAGAAGCTACCGTAGTTATGATAGCGAAATTCTTTTATTGCAGAAACGAAATGGGATTTTGTGTGACTCTGCTGACGAGAAAGTTCGTCTTCTAAATGCTGTATATCACAGGGCGACATATCCCTTTAACAAGAAAGGCTTATTCCAACCTTATTCCTTCGCTCTTAAAATTTTTAAAGGTTTAAGAGCTATTTTCAGTAAGTATAAATTAATCAAATGCCATCTCAGCAACGAATTTTTGTAGGAGCTGTTAAATAAAAAAATTTGCACAAAACCAACACAATGATAATGATAATGTCATCATCCTCGCAAATGATGTTGCAAATATCTCTAATTAGTATTCTCTCAGTACTTTCCTTAACGATAATATTAATAACTTTTTCCGGTGAAAATTATAAGTTGCAGCTTCTCAGTGAGATTGAAATAACGCAGTTAGAAACGCTATTAGATGTTTAGGACGTTTTGAATAAACGTCCACAGCCAGTCCCGAAAAATATCCACGAATTTATTCCCAAACAAAGTTCAAACGAAAAAGAAATAATCAATTTTTCATTGTTCTCTAATATTATAACACTGTCAAACATTAGAATCACAAAATCTTTTGTGAAAGTCTAAATAATTCAAAAATTTTAAATCTTAAAATATCTAAAATTCATGTTTGCTGGGCACTTCCCTCCATCTGCTTTTAAAGATCCCTAAGTGATTCCTTTTTTTTGCTAATTATTTGGCAAATGAAGAAAATAATGATCAGTGCTATGAAAAAAGTGCAAACTTCTTGTTTCTAAATAGGCAATTTAAAAGTTCCAGCCTTTTATTAGATTCAGTTATATTATGAATCTACAACACTTAATATTAGTTAACGAAAAAAATTCGCAGAAGAAGTTGAAATAAATAAATTCTTATATTATCTAAGTTAAATTAAAAATTGATGGTTTCATAACATTCTTTTATACCATCGAGCCTGATTTTATGTTGGCTTCACTAAAAACCAATGACACTCGACAAAACAAATTTCATTCGAAATCATTTTAAAAATATGAAAAGTTGAGAATGTTTAAACTAAGAATTTCTGAAGAGAAGAAGGACTCCGGGTGAACATCAGGAAAAGCCAACAAATTATATAGAGCTTCGAGCATGAAATGTGACTGAGATCCCATATTATATGAAACACGTTCCGCGAATGACCAATGATCAAATGAAATCGAGTAAAACCCTCGTTCAACCTAAATTAGATTCATCTCTACTACGTTTTAAATGAATTTCCAACGATATATTAAAAAAATTTTGAAAGTGACTTACTTCGATTTGCTAAATCAACCAAAGAATTAAGGTTTGCACCAAATTCATATCCGATATCGATGGGCCTCTGCAGGCCATCCAGATTCCACTTTTAGTGACAGGCATACTCCCATCTTGTCTGCTTTCTCACCTTCAGATGAAGAAACGAAGATGAGAAAAGACAAGTATAATAAATGCAAGTATAAAATCTGTTTATTACAGAATATAAGCAAAAACTATACAAATAAAAAACAAGAAAACTTGCATGGATATTTTTTTTAATGAACGATTTCGAAAACAAACTTCTATGCTTTTCGCATTTTACATGACAACGTAATGAGTTTCATAAATAAATAAATTTCATAAATTCATAGTTTCCAAAGATATTCCACCTGAAAATTTGATAAAGTCAATTCGAATCGCAACTATTTTGATGATCAATGAATATTTTATTTTTTTGTTAAAAAGAGGAGAAGAAGAGGTGTGACACATTCCAGAATCATTTCAAGTTGACTTGTGGCATGAGACATGGAATTAAATCAATGCTACCAAAGCAGACTGCCATGGTCCGTATCAACGCATTGTTTCAGAAAAACGCATTTCTATCCAGCAAATTTAATAAAAAATTAAGGATTATTAAAATAACCTTTCAATTAAAAAATACTTTAAAGTTTTACTTGAACGCAAGGCGAGATCATAAACGCTGAATTCACATTTAGTTTGCAGACTTGCATCCAAATGGATGAAATATCTCGCAAGCTGGTCATTTCTAAAACCAAATTTCGCATTTCTGTTCACTTTTTAGAAAACCATTCCCAAGTTCAATACCATACCAAATGAAAATTCGATATTATTAAGAATTATATTGAAACTAAAAAAACTACTCAAAACCAAACCCACAAACAACTGCAATCATAAGCGGTGTAAAGTTGAAGACAGACGCATCTATGTCATCATCGTTTTTAAGAAACACAAGAGCCTGAAATTTCTCGATTTCCCTCTAAACAAGTCCATTTTATGTTCCACGCCGAGTGACTGAACATGGGGAAATATCGCAATCTTAGATGCATGCAATCCACGAAGAGTAGTGCCGATAATTTCGTTCCTACTGCTTATTGGAGTTGTCATCGTTTATTATTGAGGTTCATGCAATTAAAGAATTAAGAACGAAAATCGTGTTTGCATTTGCAGCAAAGTCTAATGACCTCCGTCACCGCCGGCTACAAGGGTAAGACGTCTCCAAGCTGCTATGAGACGACATTAAGGAAATTTATTAAAAGTCAAGTTTACGGCACAATTATCTCTAGATGACTCGCTGGGGGAAATGAACTCTGTCTTATACGTTGCTAAAAATAAATTAGGCTAGAAACCTTCAACAAATTCGTCCTAATAAGGCAGGAAATAAAAAACGAACCAGTGGAATTGATCCAGCGACCGCAACAATCATAAGCCGAGTGGTTCCAGCGGGAAGTGGAGCAATTCTAATTTTAAATGTATTAGTCGCTTTATGAGAATTTTCTCACCTCCGATCAAAGAGCGCAAATCGTATTTAACTGAACTTTTGAGCAAATATTAAAATAATAGAAAGAAAAAATTGAAATATTGTAAAATAAATAAACAAAATAATACAAAATATTAAATAAGTGAAAAAATGGAAGGGACTGTTCGCCGTCAGCAACATTTTTCCTCTTTATTTTCTGGTTCAATTTCTTTTAAAAAATTGAATAATTCACGATCACCGAGTTTTTCGATCAAAGAAACATGATTTAATCCATAAAATTTTTTTGGATTAAATAACGATGGCGATTTTGGCCCAAAAACTAAACAATTAATAAATAATGCGAGGGAACAAGGCTGACCCGAGCTAAGTGCGAGGCGACAATGCAAGTTGTTGAATCCTTTAAAATTTTTGACATTTCAAAATTTCTGCAACAAATCTGAAAAAAAAAATAGAATCAAAACGTTCGAAGTGAAAAAGATAAAACCAGATGATAATGGCGATAAGCTATGGCAGCCGAGGGAAACTGCTGACTTCGGCGGCATAGGTAACTTTAGTAGACGCAGGAAAATGCTCATGTGGGCTCCGGCACATGCAAGTGCCACTGCATTCACTCCATAAAACCTAGCAATTAATGAATAAAAGGAAGTTGTATTCCTAGCATGCAATTGTCAAAATTTTTCGCTGTTTCGCACTGACTTTCCTTTAGTGCCATTCAATAGAGAAATTTTCGTAAAGAAATAATTTTGAAAAAAAGAAAATGTACGTTATTTTTAAATAATCGCTTCATTTTCCAGCAAAAATTCAACAGCTGCCAGTTTTCCATTACGGCATGAATGGTGTGGAGCCACAGGAATTTCGATATTCGCTGCAAATGATATAAGAATTTCCATCTGCAAACGAAGCAAATTCAGAGGAGCTAATTTTCTCTTTACCAACAGCAGTGATCATTAGTAGATAAGTAACAGCTAATTTTCATGAATGGTTGAAGAGCAGCTTTTCCAAAAAAATATCAGAAGGCATAAATTAAAAACTGAAAAAAATATAAAAAGAATAATGCATCCAGACATATCTCAACAAGTCCGACGTGCCATAGCAAAAGAAAAAAGGCTAAATTGAGGACGGCGTTGATAAGATTGGAAAAGTTTCTACGCTCAGGCAGTAAGCGAGAAAGATTTTTTATATATTTGTTATGCATTGTAGTCAAGCATCATGGATTCAGTCGCCGTCCGGTTGGTGACCAATTTCACGCTTCATTGCATCTCACTTCGTGATCTCCTCGCAGAATGGCTCAATTTGGAGCGTTGATGCTGAGATTCTATTTCCCGCAAGAGTAAACTTGTATAAAAATCCGGGTGATGCTGGCGACTTACCTGTATTTCTATCGCCAAGAGATTCCCTGGCTAGGGATATTTGCTCAATGCGATAAGCCAATGGAGTAACCAGTAATGGCCAGAACTCTTAAAAAAACCTCCTCGAAGTCTTTGTAATATTTGTTAAACCGTATTTTAGTAATGCTTTGGAACTTCATCATTTGTTTTGAAGCATTTACATGTGTGTAAGAACCAGATGAAAGTAAAGGAATCGATACATTCTCATAAATACATAAGGTATGAATACATTCTCATAAATGTGTGCGTATATGCTAGCACTTCACCGAGCAAAATCGCGAATGAGAACGCATAAGCTATCCAGTTTTTTTCACTAACAGTGAGTGAGCTATTGAAAATTCTTCAAAGACACTGCCAGCTGTGAATAGTGCCAAAACCCAATTGCATAACAATGTCACCAAAAAGTGGAGTGAAATGGTAGCAAATGCACACAAATGCACATATAAACTAGAATGCGGTCGATTTACTTATTATAAACTGACGAACCATAGTCGTGAATCCACATGCAGCTGCGATTTGCAATGCAGTAACTTCACCATCATCCACAATATCAGGTGATAAGCTTATATGAGATAAGATATAAAGCACTATTCCAGCATTTATCATTCATTTTAATTGCTGCGAATAATCCATGACGTAATGTGGCGAAACTGGACATTTGCAGCTCGTTCACAAAATTTCGAAACTGAATTCGAAGTACAAATCCCCGAAACTAATGAGACTAATCTCAAAAATTAAATAAAATATATGCCGGAAAGAAACAGAAATAATGACTAATGATAGTAGTGAGAAATAATAAAAATAAAAATAACAATGATAATAATGATAATAACAATGATAAATACAATACAAGGACAATAATGCCCTCAATGATAACGTAAAACGATGATATAATAGACGCCGTGTCAAATTGATATGGTGCAAAGCCATTGACTGATGTAATCTATCACTAAGGGCGACATCCGGGGATGCTGGGCACTCGCTCGTACATCAGTTCCTTCACTAGCGAAATGACCATATCCTAGTAATCAGATGATCGTCGTCTTCGGCCACACAAATATGTGCTATAAGCAATTGAAAAGAGCCTTCCGAGAAGTTTGAAAATTGGACAACTTATGGAGTGAATGACACAATTAGTTTCAGTTTTATAAAATATTAAGAGCAGAATTAAACGAAATGTCGCGAAACTGTGATGGAAAATTCTCTAATACTGTTTAACTAATTAATGATGGAAAGTAATCTCAACTGCTTCGCACATTTAATAATCCAAATTGACCCTTAAAAGTTGTCACAAAAAGGACATTTAATTAGGTAAATATTTACTGGCGAAATTCGAGAAACAAAAAATTATATTTATTAATAACATAGATTAAGATTTATATATTATTCAATATTTACTATTTATGTATGTTTCAATAGAAACATATGTTTCACATATGTTTCAAGAGAAATATCTCCAGAGGGCAGGACAGCCGAGTAATTGCTGCCGCTCTGAAGCACCGATCACCTCCAGCAGAAGTAAACGCGCCATTGAGTAAACCCAAGTGGTTGCTACGTGAATCTCTGGTAAAAATTTCTCGCCGTACTAACAGAAGATGAAGCGAGCCTAATAACCGGAAACCGTGAGGTGCACAGACCCTTATTCCAAAATTACTAAAAAAAACAGCAAAGAAATTAAGAACAAAGCAATCTTTCGCCAATCAGCAAATAATTTTAAAACAAATGTTAAAGTCATTCGCTAACCAAAAGTCAAAACTCGAACCGAAAATGAATAACTTGACAACTTAAGACCGATCACCTAAGTTAAGAAAATTCGATAAATCAAAAAATTAAAAAAATTAATTTCGAAGATTTATGACCAATAAATGTTGATTTTAATTAGAAATCACCGAAGACAAATATATAGAAAATATGTAAAAGCTTTTAACCATATGAGTCCCACTCCATGAAGTTTCTGGACACAAGTTGTTCTGGCTTGGCCTGTTGTACTGACTACTTAGGGAAAAGGCTTTCATGTCTCCGCCTCATTCTGAGCATATTTGAAGTTAGATGAAGCCATCCTATTATCCACTGCACTACATTATTAACGAGCTTCTCATATCCAAAATTTCTTCCAAACTTAACAACCCAAGAATTGGAAGATAAAAATCACATCAGATTCCAAGTTACATTTTAAAAAATTAGTTTTGTAAGTCACTAATTTATATGCCTTAAAATGGTCATTGCAAAAAACATTTATTTACTGGAATCTGATAAACGCACAAATACGATTAACTCAATTATCAAAATAACAGAGGAATTTATTATTTGATGTCGATTTAGTTGCCTTTAAAATATCAATTCCATTTAAAAATTTTCAAAAATAGAAAAAATTAAATTGGAAAAATATTTAACAGAAAAACCCATAATAACATGTGCAAAATTCGTTAATACCAACTTAAATTTAATAAACACAAAAAAAATCTTTCATCTTTTGCAGTGCCTTCGCTCTATGGCTAATCATGTTTTTCAACGATTTGTCCATTTCAGCATAGGTCAAAATGTAACCATCTGGTTGGAAACATGGATCCCAACCAAAGGCAGTTTCTCCTCGTGGTTTGGTTATGCATCCATCTGTTCGCCCTGAATATGAACGATAAAGTATAAGATGTGAAGAACAATGCTGCTGCTAGCATCACATTAGTCCCGTAATTAATTGAATGTAAATTTTCTTCAAATTTTAAATTCAACTCAAATTCTCTGTGGAAAAATGCATAAGATCTGAGAATCGTGAAAAAAATCTAATCTCCAAATATTGGGATAAAATTCTGCTACATCAATTACAAAAAAATTAAAAATGCCTTGAAAAAGTTGAACTGATTTCCCAACACCTTCACAATATGCGAAAGTGCAAATAGCATATGCCGTCTTATCTTCAAAACCAGCTAAAAGCTTATAAAGACCAACTGGTTTCAGTTTATTCAAAAACCTGGAAATAAATAGATGCAAATGAGCAAACATCTATAAACCACAAAGAAAATTAACATATTATTAAGAAAGAATACAATGTTTCTCTTCCTTTCTATGTATTCATAACCTATTTATTCTATAATAAGTACTCATTTAAAATTTAAACCATTTGTATTATATTATTATAATATATTTATATTGCATCTTCGACAACGAAAATTTGCATGGTTAAGAATTTTCACATGAAAAAAAATAAAAATGAATGAATGATATTCCAGCAATGACTTGGATTCCACATCTGACAATAGGTTCCATAGTCAATAACTTCACATAAAATGAAAGACAAGATAACTAATACCCACAATAACCTTGGATTTTGATTCAATTTTATTGGATAGAGATTAAGGAAATAGATGACCAAATAATAAAGTGAGATGATAGTTAAAATCGAACCATTTGATATATGGTCCTGGCAATCCACCGAGAGCATTAAAACATAAACAAGTATCCTCCGTTATAACTGGACAATTCAACCTTTCAACAGCCGCAAGACATTTCTTTTGAGCGATTTCATCTGGTTCGCCTTGATATTCATCGAGATCAATGTTCACACTTTCCACCTGAACCCATTATTATTTTTTTCAAATATATTGAATTATTAAATAAGTTAAAAAATCAATATTTAAAATTTGTTAGAACCAAGTTCTTCCATTAGATGGTATAGAATTAGATACAAAACTTTTTATTCCTTCTAATCCTCCAATACAATTTTACCCAGAAAATTATCCATAAAATACCTCCTTCTAAAATACAAAATCTATTTTAAATTTTATATAAAATGCAAAAATATAAAGGTGTATAATTTATCGTTTACTTGTGTCCAAAAAAAGCTAATTCAGTTGCTAATTAAAATAAAATGAATTGTAAATGAATTATGAATTAATTAAAATAAAATGAATCATAAATAATAAACCAAAAAAATAGAGACGATAAAAAAAGCTGCTTAATGAAGCGTTATTTCAAGTACAATATAAAACCAAAACTTATTTTATTACAAAAAGATAAAGAGAAAACAATAAATAAAAAAAAAGGATCAGACATCAGACCAGTAAATATGAATCATTTTAAGCACAATTTTTATTTAAAAAAGCAATTTGGTAATTAAAAAACAAAAAATAAAATAAACAAAAAATACAATACAATAAACAGTTGCACTTGTAATAATAAAGTAAGATACAAAATAAAAAAATTAGGATCTTATTGAAAAAAATTTTACAATCATGGATTAGAAATGAAATTAACGATAACGGTCACCTCAAGATTGCTCATGCAACTAGTCCATTCATTCATCCATAAATCCTGCGCGAGGCAGCAGGCCCCGGACTCGTGAATTAAAACTTCTGACTCTGCTATAAGCAATTTCCTTTTTCTTTTTTTTTTGTATTGACTTATTTTGACATTATTATATTATTATTATATTATTATTACTACCTACCATAAATAATTTTAGTATTCGACAAATAAAACGCAATTACAACTAAAGTTATTTTTGATGGAGTATAATTTTGAAACATAATGGAACATAAACATTTTAGAATGAAAAAATAGAAATTCCATTGTTTCGGAAAGGGAACAAGTAATACAATAAGTCTCCATACGAGCGATACCTTTAATCTGACAAATCAGAATTCCACAAATAACTACGGAATCTCCGGAGAGAATTGTTAAATCGCTTATGTTCACGAGCTGTTTGAACAGGAATACGCTTATACTCGAAAAAACTGAAAAAATCTGTTCGAGAATGAGAATCTGAAACCAATTTTCGACGAGATAATTGAATGGGAGGAGCTTTTGACTGATTGATAAACCAATTATTGCTAATATTCATTATTTTATCTGATGAGGCAAAAGCAGAAAAAAGTGGTAATGGAGAAAATTCCTTTATTATATTGTCTTGATCTTGTTTCGAAAGTGTATGAGAAAATTTTCCGATATCAGGAAAGGAAATATGAGAGATAAAAGAATTAAAATCCATATCGAAAACTTTATTGAACGATGATATCTTAACATTTTCCTTCATTGAGTTGATTAAATCAGATGAATTTTTGAAACTGGGAAAATTTGCGATTCTGGATACTTCTTGATCTGTACCATCGTTAATCTCATCTAATTCTTGAAAAATTCCATAGCGAATTAGTTTCAAATGTTTAATTTCATTCGGAATCGAAGCCATTAGACCAGAACAAACATTAATTGGAGAAAAATTTTCCAATTCTTCAACGTACAACATTGCCAAACAATTTTTGAGAATCGGTGATAGGTTCCCTTGAGAACTGGTTGAAGCCGATAAATTTCGTTCGTCCAACATTTCTCTAAATATATTAATGAAACAACGACAAAATCTTCATATGGTCATTTCTTGAAATTCTTTTTTGTGTCAGCCCTACTAATATCTGAAACACTACCAAGACCATTTATTAACCCCTTTAATTAATTTTATTATATAAAGAAAATAAAAGAAAAAACAGAATAAAAAATATAAAATAACTTTTGAATGAAATCAGTAGTAACGATAAATTTTCCAAATGGCAAAATATTTTTTCGATACATGTTGATAGCAAACAGCATGCATTATTTCTGATTTGATTAGTTCCACTGATTATTAGAGACCTATCCATCATTTAAGGGACAACTGCGGAGAAATATATACATTTGGTAAATATCATTTATCTGGATTTTACTCTTAATGCCAAGTCTGATTTTTATCTAGAGAAAGAAATAGAACCCATGCTGCTTCTGTTGTCTAAGAAGTAACATATAACTCAATAATAGCTTCCCTAAAAGTTCCATAATGATCATCCAATGAAAATGAAGATGATTTCGAATGTTTTTTCGATACAATGTTGATAACAAGAAAAAATGACAAAATAATTACATTAAAATTAAAAAATAAAAATGGTTTCAGCTTTTATCAGAAAATAAAATTTTATTTACCGTAAAATTTGGTGATAATATTGCTTGGACTTCAATTAATTTATTGACGTTACTTGTGACGAAAGTGAGTGTTTGTTTGGCCAGCATTTATAGTCTAAATCAACGTTATATATCGATATAACCTTGAAGATCTTCGATTCCACTCTCCAATTTCACCTCAATTCAAAATTTCATTAGAAATAAACCATGATTTATATATATCAAAGACAAAACAAATCAACTTAAACTATCTCCGTTTAAAGCACTCATTCAATATTTTCGATTTGGCTCCACTAGTTGAGAGTCACTTTGGGATTTATAGACGACAACTGTACCCTCAGCAGACGGATTTAATTTTTAATAAGTTTACAGAGGAAAAGAATCAAACAAATCTTTGACCTCAGCTATAGACCTAACCACTAGCCAATATTATGACAAAATATACTTAATGGACTGAATCATACATTCTATTTCAGTACCAATTAAAAGCGTTGCATGACGATACATGACGATAAAATAGTTCAATTTACAAGGAATTATTTTCAGACTGTATTAGAAGGCAAGGAATAAATATTTGAAGACAACAACACTAAATCCTTTTTTTAACATTAAAATATATTAAGAATTTATTGCATATATAAATTATAAAATATAGAAAACAGAATTTTAAATATTTTTCTAAATTATGTAAAGATCAAGAATTATTATGATCAAGAAAATGCTTCCCAAATTTGAATCGAATCTTTGAAAAATTTCAACGAAATAATTGAAAACTGCACGTCATATTCATGAATTCAAACATAAAAAGCAGATATATGAAACCGAACTTTTTGAAAAATACAAAATGACCAACAATTCTTTGGCGAGTATTCAGTTACAATTACAAACAAGCGTATATTTTTCAATATTTTTCATTTTTGAAATTGCTTCATAATAAATGTCAAATTAGATTAAAATGTAAACAAAATGATAAAATAAAATTGCACCAGTAAACAATCATAAAAAATTAATCCCAGCTCCAAACTGTAAACCAGGTGTATAACTATCGCCAGCACTGTGCTTCAATGGTACTACATAATTCATTTCTACACGAATAATATTACCAAGTATTAGTACTAAACCTATGCCGCCTGATATTCTTTGAAAATTAGCCAGATCAGACAATCGATTTTTCGAGTGAACAGATGCTACGCAACCAGTACAGAGAAATGCATGCGCGAAAAGAGATTCTGGAGGTTTCAGTGGTCTGAAATTATGATTATACGAAAAAAACAGTGGTGGTAGTAATATTTAAAACATGGATAAAAAACGGAGAAAAACAAATAAAATAAAAACAAATAAGAACGAACATATAAAAATGAAGAACACCAGCAAAAGATGTGGCTCCGCCAAGGCAGGAAGTATTGCCGCGTGTACCTATTGAATTAATATTAAAACCTCGAACATCATATGGACCTCCCAAATATAACCTGTCTAATATATGCAATGAACGGCCAGCTAACGACGTTAATACAGAAGCTTGTATTGAAGCACTTAAGAAAGTACCGAAGATAAGCGGAGCAGCAGCCTGTAAAGAAAAGATGGGAAATTTTACTAGAAAACATGCCTATAAAAGAATCATATTTTGCTAAATCCAACTCAATTTAAAAATCCAACCTGGAAGTCGAATTGATGTTTAACAAATGTCGCATCACCCATCAAGCCAGCATATTCCTGAGCAAAACGAAGAAGCAATCCTTTTGAAGGCAGTAGTCTATTATTTCGAGTATCAAAAGCAACTGAATTTTCCAATGAGCATTTTATTGTGTGACCTGCATATTCTCGAATAGAAAAAACTGTTTCTCGTGATGGACATAATGTTCGCCATGTCTTAAAAATTTTTATGTAATTATATAAGTTAGCATAATTAATTTAGTATAATTAGGAAAAATAAGCGAAATTAAATATATATATGCATATAGTAAACTATCAGCCTTCGACCACTCATGTCTAAGATTTTATTGGTTCACCGAATGAAAAAAATTTCACACAATCCATCCTTGTTCATATACCACTAACATTAACAGTACCATCATAAAACGTCGTCTTCACTGGTTAGGACACGTTCTTTATCACCCACAAGAGATGACACGACACATAATTCGTTATTTGCTAAGTCCTGTGATGGATGGCGTAAAAAAATGAGCCAATCAAAACCAATACGGTCAAGAAAGATTTTAAACCTATAGATGGACCAGCAATACATGGACTTAGACGACAGAAAAAGGAAGGGCTTCTATTATTGTCGACGATGGCGACCGCCTTCCCTTTTTGTAGCCAGTAGAAACCTGACTAGTAATGGCAAGAGCTGTTAGAAGAAGAGTAAATGACCGGTGATTGATAGAGTAATACTAAGAGACAAGAACGTCAGAAAGAAGGAATATGAAAACAGAAATACCTACCAGAGGTTGAATTAGAAAAAATGTGGAAAATAAAGACCAAATTAATTCCAGTAATAATTAGAGCATTTGGGAACCCTAAATTAGAAAGGTGGCTTTAGCAATTTCAAGAACAGCGTCAGAGACTTCTATCCAGAATGGCGCATTATTAGGAATGATGACTAAGACACTGCGCAGGTTCAATCTCACAGATTATTGGGCGAGAACCCAAGAAAAGTGAGAAAAGTTTTTTGCTATATTTTAACAAAATTTTAGCCATTTAACTTTCTTCATTTTCTTGCTCATAAAAGCATAATATATATCTTGCTTCATGGTTTCATTTCAATTTACTAAAAAAAGGCATAAGCTGAACCAAATCTACCAATTTTTATAAAAAAAATTACCATTTAAGAAAACCATCTAAAAATGTATCTCTGAAATATGCCAAATATAAAAAAGCATAAAAAAAATTATCAAGCGAATGGCTTTCGCAACGGATATAGCAATTTAACTAATCATTTAACTCAATTTAACTCATAACTGTTTAATTATCAGCTAAAACGTTAAAATCTATTACCATTGTTGCTTTTATATTGTGGAACAATTTTCGCGCCCACAGCTGACCACTGTATTGGAAATGCAAACCATTTTCTTTTGAATTGCATAAATTCCACGGTAAATAGGCGAAATCGCGATAAGCTGAGAAAGAAATATTCGAATATTTTTGCCAACCAAGGAACGGCTTCATAAATGTGAAACCAAAGCTTTTGTCACTCTAGATTTAAATAAATAAAATTCGTTGAAAAAAAGAAACGAAAAATAAAAGCAAATTATAAACGTAACCGCCAAAAATTATTCAAACCTTAACACTGTAAGAATACGAAACATTCATAGCTTCTCCACGACCCCAAAAACATTGTCTACTACCATTCAAAGAAAAATCAGCATTCCCACGAGTTGAAACTCCAACCTGTTAACAAATTGTAGAAGAAAAAATCGAAAAAATAAGATTGTACTGTCAATCTTATTTCAATGTTATTAATATTATACAATATTTTAGAAACAATATATTAATTAATTATGTTAACAGCAATATTAATTATATTATCAGCAAATTCCAACAAAAAAATCTCTAAATCTATGAATTAAAATTTTTGTTACCACAAATTTAAATAGAAATAAAAGACCATCAAATAAATAACGTCACATTTTTATAAAAAATTTGAAATATGAAGAAAAATTGAATTTAATATGACATAATATTAGTCAACTGTATAATTGTATACCGTTGTTTTCTTTCCCATTTAAAAGCTAGTTCACGAATTCCTTATTTGCAGAATCTTGAATATTCAGTATTCTTCTGATGTTCACGATCTATTACTATGAGTTAATTTTCACGAAAACTTGACTGAAGCATATAGCACCACACTACTAAATAAACCTTAGAAATGATTTGATTTTTTTTATTTTCTAAGAGCGCACCTTTCTGTTTAGCCTCAGGTTTTGTCGGACCAGAATTACAGGAATTTCTTTGGGAACAGAAGTATAGATGAGTCGTCAAAATCACCTGTAACTTTCAACAAAAAAAATCCCTAATTGATAATTCTTTTTAGAAAAACTTTAGAAAAAAGACATTATTTATTTGATGACCTATTAATAATTTAAAAATTCAAATAGGATAAATTATTAAATGAGATTTTGATTTAAATAATGAAAAAAGCAAAATTTTAAACAAGTGCAAACGACTCACATTTTAAAGATCTACAGAAAGCAGAAACAAAATTTTCACCAAACAATTATATATACACAAAAAATCTTTTTCTCATCCCCTGTGAGTAAGTCATCCCTAATCTCCAATCCTCTAGCTGGGAGCTTGAGGTCCTCCGCAGTATTTTAGCTGTACCTAGAATCTTTAGAACCATTTTTAAAGAGAAATCACTTTTAGGGATCATTCATTGCTCCCACCATTGTCTTACTTTGCATACCTCAATCACTCTGGCTGCAGCTGAATGGCGAAGAATAATAACTGATAAATTACTTTAAATTATTTTGGTCCCGATTCACCAAAAAAATTGTTTATTGTTTTGATTAGTTTTTCTTGTCATAATAATTTCTAATAGATAGAGGTCAATTTTCCGTTTGAGTTAGCTTTACCTCTGGTAAGAGCGCCACATCAAATAAATTATTTTTATTCTGAGGGTCTATTATACCAATTTCATAAAATTAATGTGTAAAAGATACGGCCTATGCAACTAGATCTTGGCAGCTAATTTTACTTTTCCAACTATTTAATTTTTATACATTTTTACTTTTTTAATCGCTTAAAACTTGCTATTTTTGCAATGTAAGACAGTGCAAGCCTTAGTACATTTAAGATTTTTCTTTATCGTTTTTTTAAAATAAAAGGTAATTATAAAAAAGAACTCAAATTTGAGGGTTCTACGTGGTGAACTTTCAGAAAGAGAATGCAACATAAGACATTAAAAAGCAAAGCATGGCTGTAGTATTAGGAACAAGAAAAAGGCGAGGCAAGCAAAATTTCACGCCATCTTTTATATGGAAATGGCAATTTTAATGCGATATTTATTTTCATAGACTGGCCTTTACCATTTTCTCTAATTTCTTTTTCAGCCTCTGTTACTTCTCGATCTATTCATATTCTTGACCGTTAATGCCGGTTGTTTATTACCATGATATCTTGGTTGAGAGGACAGTATGTTTATTTGTCTAGTTGGAAAAGTCCCACAGGATCTTTGTTTTATTATGCTTCATATTTTTTGGGGAATCACCCATCCGGTTTTGAGAGAATCTAAGCCAAGCTGTATTGAGTAGATATTTCTATGCTATGCTATGTATTTCAATGTATGCTGTCCATACTTGCATTTTATGTAGGTAATGGACATTCTGTCTATATAGTCCTGTCTGATGCAGTATATCCCTGCTTGAATGTGATGCTTAGCAGTGTTTCTGCCACGATCAATGCCACAATGGAGTCTTTTAGTCCAGCTATTGCCACTGTAAGGATTATAAGGATTATAGGATTCTTCGAGTCACTATCTTAATAATATATCCATTGGAGAATCTTGCCTTGGCACTTCTGCACTGCCTGGTCTTTCTCCAGTGCATACTGATGCTTGAGGCAATCTCTTATTTTATATTTATTTATATTTTTTTTAGAGAGTCCTCACCATTACTGGTTAAACTTGCTCCATTAGCTTGTAGCATTGGGCATTATACCAGGGAGCCCCTTGGCGACAGAAATACAGGTGAGTCGCCAGAATCACAAGGATTTCTGTATAGGTTTACTCCTGCGGAGAATCGAATCTCAGCATCGGCACTCCCAATTGAGCCATTCTATCCCTCTATATATTTATATATATATTTATGGTTATTTCTTATTTCATCATAACTGTAAACTAATCTGAATATACCTTCATTCCAAGTGAATATGGTCTCGGTTCTTTGACCAAAAAATTGACAATATAACCATGAGGATTATCGCTTGACGCGTCAACCAAAGCTGTTGCTTCATCCAATAGCCCAATTTCCTAAACAATTTATTAGAAATTTAAAGAATTAAAATTGTGAAAAAAAATTCGCTGCATTTTATTACATATTATATCGAAAATATTACGAAACAAATCAGAGAATATATCAATTTTTTTAATGGAAATATCAAAATATCAAAAGATATATCAATATTAATTAATATCAATATTAATTATCAAGAATATCAAGATATCAAAAGATAATTTATCTTTAAAAGAGTCTCGTTCAATTATCCGCTACTTCATATGATCAGCAAGAATATAAAAATTATCAACTACTGAAAGGCATTACATTAAGGCATCACATAAAACGATAAAGGAACAAAATGAATTTATCATGTTTATATTTATATTAAAAAATTGATAACTTTTCTGTTTTGTTTCACAATATTTTCGATATAATTTGTAATCTAATGCAACGAATTTTTTTTCACAATTTTAATTCTTTAAATTTATATTTATCTCGACTTCTTTATTTATATGGATAAAGAAATAAACTATCCAAGCGGGTATCTAAAGTCCTTCCTGTTTCCTTCTTACCTGACTAACAGTGCAGTGAAATCTTTTCGTAGTGGAATCGCTCTAGGGTTGAAACACAGACTCCCAGCACCACATGAATTAGAAACTAAGAGGATAAAATGATCAACCTGCATATGCTTGGCAGCAAGATTACAGTTATGAATTAATTCAGCAACATTTGCACTCTTATAAATCGGCGCAATTTCTTTCACAAGTGCATCATTTTTCGTGTTTTCTATTCCATGAAACTGGATTGATTCAACGAGTGCGGGCGTTGTTTCACATTTACCAAGAATTACATCAGCTCGATGATAGTGTTTTGAACGCATCATCCACTTGATTATCTCTAACTAAAATTCACCGAAAAATTATTTTAAAAAACCAAAAAATCATGAAAATTGTAAATATTAGCAGCAAACATTAAAATAAATTCAATTTATTTAATGAACTAATCTAAAATAACGATTTAAATAATTAGATAATTATAAAAAACGAAAAAAAAGATAATTTTCAATATTGAACGAATTCGGAAATCGATTACACCACAGATAAGGCGATACGGTGGACAGTGATTCAGATTGTTGGGCTGAAAGGCAAAGGTACCAGAGAGCAGCAAGAAAAGCTGCTCGCGACTCACGTTTACTTCTACCGCCGAGCAACTCTCTCGCAAAAATTCCTCGCCATACGAAGGCAGCCAGCTGAGTCGGCCTAATTCAAATGCTGGGCGCCAACCCATCTAACTAATCTACTTATAAACTAAGTCTTTATAAGCATTTGTCCAGTTTCTTAACGAGTAGAACAACCTCGAAATGCTTGCATGTTTGCATTGGCAATTTTAAAGGAAAAAAATACAAAAAACGTCTGAGCGACAGCAATTTTTTCATTTTTCTCAAAAGGTAAATAATGAAAATCGTCTTAATTAACCACAACTAATTGTAACGACCAAAAAAAGCAAATGGTTCAAGAATGGAATGCTACAAGTGAGCCGCTGCAGAGCAGCCAATGCTGCGGATTTCACTCCCACAGGAGCACGTGAAACTCGGAGTGCTGGCGAGTCACCTCTACTTCCACGTGCACTGACTGCCGACAAAGCCGACGGAGCGAAGCTTCGAGAACAGCTAATAAAAAATAAATAACTCGACGAGAAATGAGCAGCGAAGAACCAGTGTCTTGATGTAGGAAAGCCGGAAAAACGCTGAATGCGCTATATAAGTTAGCCGCCAATCAACGCTTAACTGCACTTTTCACGAAACCCCTTCCCCGCATCCCTCCTACTTTCGCTTAGATCTTCAATCATTACGAAACAAATGCCACTTCGACTGAGTTTTAAGTATGCGAAAGATCAGCTTCAGCTTTTTATCAATTGAATTCAAATTGTTTATTCAAACCTGCTTCATTAATTCACTTTCCTTTCGTGGTATTTTAAACAGCCTAATCAATTTTTTTTCGGAAATTGATTTTCATAAACTTTGAGGAATCTTCAAAAATATCGAAATTTCAAGCCACCTTCGTTTTATATAAAATTTTTAAGAAACGAGGGGCAGCGTAGCCGAGTGGGTAGATTGTTGTCGTGAGGGGTTCGACTGGTGCCCGCCGTGAATAAGCCTTAGGAGAGCTGAGTGGCGTTAGCTGTGCTTCTGTTGCCAGGTGGATCCGCGGCGAAGGTTTAAAGATTACTTACAGCCAGTGCTAATTCAACCATTAAAGAGCTCTTACTTATAAGGAGTTTTCATATTAAAAAATTCGCGCGCGACATTTTCTCTTTAAAATTTGTGCATTGAAAGAAATTTCTTTGCTGAAAAAGTAGCACTTCACCAAAGTTTCGAGTGAGAGCGACATTTCTTGCACTGAATTGGGCAACACTATTATTCACAGCTGAAGGTGGCACAGCAAAGTAGTTGAGTGCTTATTGTTGCAAGCGTCTGAAGGTCCGAATATGCTGCGCTCCTCTGCACCCTCTTACATCCTCACATGGCTTTTTGTCAACACTATCTCATCGTATTTGCAGCCAGTGAACTGAGTTTAGCTAGAAATGCTCGGCACTTCTTTTACTTGCTGACACCTTGCAACTGCCTCTAGCAAATTTTATTTTGTATCTCTTTGTTTTTATTCAGATGAGTTTTGGTTTCGTTACTGCTTCTGGAAAAAATATAAAAGTTAGTGCTGATGCTCTGGAAAAAGCTCGAAAAAGATTCGAAGAATTGGACGAACAGGCGGCTGCAGATGAACACGTCTCGCTAGTTGCAGCTGCTCTTCCACAGCACAAGTACCTTTAAATTTTTAAATTTTATATTTAGATTTATGTAAACATAAACTTATAATATTGAACTGATCCAGTATTCGTGATATTTCTTATTATTCGTGATATATTTCTTATTCGTAATATTTTAAAACAATTAAACAATATTAAATATTAATTAAACAATATTTGGTTCGATTAGACCATCGGCTATTATCTTCTGCGATTTAGTTAATTGTTAATTTTTGTATGTTAGATCCAAGTTTCTTCGTTCTTTTTCCCTTTTTGTCTTACCTCATGTCGAGAACGCCTTTTCTTTTTAAATCTTTAATTTTAGAAATTTATTTTCGCCAATACTGAGTCGGTCTGGCTTGAAAGGGATCGGTTCAAAGGAATCGGCTTTTCGATCTTCTCTTTGTTCAACTGCTCTAAAAAGACATAAAGGAATGAAAAGTGTATTTTTACGTAAATGGAAATGAAAATTTATATATTTGCATATTTTTTGAATTTTTTATCGTAAAATTTTGCATTCCCCTCAAAAGAAATTTTCTTTGATAAATTTTCTTTGGAAATTTTCCTAAAAGCGCCAATTTTCAATGAATTGGATTCGTTTAGAAGATTGTGCTTTTCATTCACCAGTTTTATTAAATGCGACTACTACATCATCGCCAGCTGTTTTCCTAGACGAATTAGATAAAAATCGGATTTTAGAATTTTCCCCACAATCGAAAAGTCGTAAGCTGTTTTCTTATTTATAATAAATTGTCTTCTGGTTTTCGTTTTTATAATAAATCCTTACGGAGGTTGAACTCTAAGGATTTCTCTGGAACTACTAAAAATAAACCACAAATGAAAATTTTGCAATACAGTTGCTTTTCCACTTTTTTCAGCATATTTTCTAGGATTCCACCAGAGGATTAGTTGAAAGTGACGATAGAGATGGGTCTCCAGAACCACTTGGATTTCACTTTCAATAATAGTTTATTCCCCAAATAAAACCATTGCATCAACCGAATGAACGAATAATTCAATGTCCATTTTATACCTCAAAGTAATGTCCCAAAAAATCCCAAAAAATCAACTTTTTTGGAATTTCTTTTTGCTAGATAATGATTTATGATTTTTACAGGTGAACGATCAAATAGTGAAAATGTAACACCAATCAAACTATTGACACCATATTGTAAAAGCTGGCGGTTATGTTTGAAAGTAACATATATCGATAAGGTTCGGTCTTTCAGTTTAAAAAAATTTGTCTAAAACATAAAATTTTTTTCGCATTTTACAGTAAATTTTAGGTTATATTTTGTTAATTTTGATTTTTTTATTTTTTCTGTTTTCAGTTAAGGCAATATCGTGGGTCAAAGTTATTTTCTTTTCAAGGCGTCGATGAAGATGGCGTTGAGATTCGGATAAGTGCTTATAATGATTTAGCCGTGAAAATTTCACATATGGTTCGACTTCATGAGGTATTATTTTTGGTTTTTCACGTTTATACGATAAAAAAGCAAAAGATTGCTTCTTTTTTATAATTTTTTAATTCTTAATATTTTATATTATAGATGTATTACATACAGCAAGCTTCCGTCAAAATCTCAAATAAACGATATATTAGAAATCAACACGATATGGAAATTATTCTCAAATCGGATACACAGGTTTCTTATTTCGATTATTTTTATTGAAAAAATAAAAATTTCTTATTTTTTTTCCCAGTAAAGGGCTGGTATTTCTTATTTTTCTTGCTAATATTTTCACTTTGTAAATTAATATTTCAATGTTTATAACTTCTAATAATTAATAATAAATGAAAAAATTTAGATAAAATTATGTACTGATCGACCAGAGATATCTTCTCCAAAATTAAATTTTAAATTTGTACATATAAACGATATCAAAAATTATATGGACTCTGATGTAGGTTAGTTTCTTCTAACAGCTAACACCACTTCTGGTTTTTTGGCTGGTTATATTATTGATCCAGTGAAATTATTTCTCTAGAGTATCAATAGAGTAGAATGTAATGAACATTCTTTAATGTTTATCCATTTTTCATAACATTTCCATTTTTCATTATGTTTGTTCATTAATTTTTCTTAGTTGTATTTTTTAGCTGAATATTTGATTTCTTAGTTGAATATTTTTGATAATTTCATTAAAAATTCAGATGTAATTGGCGTGATTATTGACACTGGCGATATGAAACAAGTTAATACAAAATCAGGTGAGAATATCTTCAAAAGAGATATTCAAATTGTGGATGAATCTGTTCATTCAGTTGTTGTCACTCTCTGGAATGAACGTGCTCAAACTTTCAACAAATCATTCCAAAACGCTATATTTGCTGCCAGAGGACTCGCCGTTCGCTCATTCCATGGTATTTTTCAGTATGAAAAATTTCTATAAAATATAATTTTTTTAAATTTTTTTGTCTGAAAAATTAAATATATAGAATTATTTTCACTGCCATTTCAAACATGTACTTAATATTCTGAAGCAAATATTGTTTAGGATTTCTCACATTATCGGCTCTTACCTATAGCAAGACGGTTATAAATCCAGATATTCCAGAAACGTTGTCTCTTAAAATGTGGTTTGATAGTATTCTCAAAAAAAAATCTTTCGTGTCTATATCTTCTGATCCGTTGCAGTGTCAGTTACTTTTCTTCCAAAAATCATTTTTTGCTAAAATAAAATTGTTAGAATTATGGATGATATTATCGAATTGATATTATCAAAATATAATTATTTTGCCAAAGTCATTAATTTTACGAATATTAATTTTACTTATTTTCTTAATAAATTGGTTATTAAATTTCGTAAACGTTAGCTCCAAATAGACTTACTTTAATTGCGGATGATTATAGCTAGAAAAATATGCCACAAATGTTTTATTGAAAAATGGAATTAAAACCATTATAATTTTTCAATCCCAGAACTTCAAAAACTTTGCTTGTTTGTTTACTAGTGTTTCATCAGTTTAGAAAGTATTGCTGCTCCTACACTGTATAAAATGGCATGCAGATTTTAAGCTTTTTTGGATCAGTAAATATTAGTCTGTATTTTTTATTTAGTCTCTATTTTTCTGTTTTTTTATTGATTTTAATTTCTTCTCTCACTTTTTTCACTTTATTCACTTTTTCCTTAAATCAATTTACGGAGGTGTTTTTTATTAATATAATATAATAATTAATTTTAGATGTGGATCATGTTTGGATAAATCAAGTAATATCCGCCTCAAATCCATCTTATTTTACTGTCACTGCTATGGTTTTGAATATGAACGTCGACAATGCTATCTATAAAGTTTGTTTATTTACAAGAAAAAATTATTTTACTATTAACTTTCAACTTTATTTATTTGGTTTTTATTTGGTTATATTTTTTATTTACAAATAAATTTTTCAGGGTTGTGTGAATGGTGGTTGTAAAAAGAAACTGCTTGAGTGCACAGACGGTTATAAATGTCCCAAATGTGGTTTGATCTCTGATAAATATAAATATTTTTTCACACTTTCTGTACATTTTTTAATGCTTTTTTTTTACTTAGTTTAAAAATTTTTTCTTTTTCTGATTCCTATATAAAAAATAACGCAAAAAGCGGCATTCATATAATTTATTTTATGAAGAATAGCTTTTCTATAGGAATAGAAAAAATTTATGCTAAAATTCATTAATTGGATGATTTTTCAGGTGGAAATTGGTGACTTTACAGGAACTCTATTGGTTAGTCTATTTGAAGGTTGCGCAGAAAAGTTATTAGGTGATTCCGCTGATGAATTAGCGAAAATACGCAGTTATAATGCAGATGAGTTTTTAAATCGATTAAGAAGACCACTTTTTAAAACTTTTTCATTTCGAATCACCGCTCGTCAGGAGAGTTCGAGCACTGGTCAAAATAATGTAACAAAATCAGTTAGTTCAACAAGTTTAGATAAATCTCTCTCACCTTCTAATCAGCGATTTAAATGGAACGTTGTCGGATTAACATCTTTAGCATATGAATATTATATACCGTTTTTGCAAAAGTGCATTTCGAAATTTCATTAAGCCTTTTCAGTGAAGTAAGATGATAAACATAGATAATAGAACGATTTCTTAAAATTTTTCCCGGTTAATGAAAAATATGTTGAAAAAATTTGACTGAGAAAATAAGCAATAAAAGGCGATGTAATCAGTTATTGCTTTATTTCATCTATTGTTAAGATCCTCTCTAAATTACCAGTACAATAAGTTAACCAGTACAGTAAATACTCCTATGATGCATTCTGTTCCAGTAACTAATATATCTAATATATATTATCATTCTCCACTAATAATTTAGTTCAACAATGTTTTATACTAATTTATCTTTTTTTTTGTTTTTTGCTTTTAAATTGTAGCATATTGATCGTTAATTAAACATTCTTTTGTTATTAATTAATTGTTAATGAATTATTAGTGAAATATGTTTATTTCTTAAGTATTAATTGCTCAAAAATTTTTGTACATTAGACATAAAATTTCATAAAACTTTTTTTTTAATTTTATTTCTAAAATCTCACAAAATCTCGGAAATTTTCAAAAAATATGGAGATGAAGAAAAAAATTTTCATTCTTTTTCAAACATTCTTTTCCATTATATTATTTACAAATATAAAACAAAAAAAACAAAAGTTCTATATACAGTAACACTTGGAGTTTTATATTTACATTGATAATATTTTTAAAATATAAGAAATTACCATAAATTTAAAATTTTTTGTTGAGTACAGTCGAATAAATTAATATCGCATAATAAAATTGAGAACAAAAAGTTTCGATACAAATAATGCAAACGATATAAAAATTTTTATCAAATTTTTGCATTTTTGCAAAGCAATGCGGCTGAAAAATTAATCCTTGCAAAATTTAATTTCTAAACGAATTGTAAAAGGTTAATAGGCGGTCATTCGAAATAAAAATCAAATCAAAAAATATTAAGAAAAGAATAAAATATTAAAATTTAAAAGAGACAAATATAACACAATTTCAGGAGATATGGGAACCTTCAGAACAAGCCAGACAATTTTGTTACGTATAAACGGCTGCAATTCAGCGTTGCCAATTTAAAAAAATATCAGTAGGAATAATACAGAAGGCACAAAGCAATAAAACACTTTAAAACCGCACGTTCTACCTATTTATAATGGAACTGTTAGATATCCTTGAAGATAATTTTTCGAATATCCCATTCGCTCGCAACTGAACAAAAGCGATTTTCAACAACACTCAGTGGTTCTTTATTACTGTACAAACATTTGCGAATAGCAGTATTAAAAAGTTTTCCATCCTGAAAACTGCGGAAAAAATTTTTTCAGCCTGAAGCTGCAGAAGAAGATATGAGACTGAAAAAAAAATTGTAAATATTGTAAATATTTCGATAAGTAAACGACTCAAATTAAGACTAATAAAAAGACATACGAATATGCTCCATTCTTGATGAGCTCCCTGTTGATGACATTTTATTAGTCTCGGGTCCTGAAAAAAATCGCTTTTTTGTAGTTTCAAAATTCAAAATTCAAAGTTTCAAAATTTTACATGAAATCAATTAAAAAATAAATTGTTGTAGATTCCTTTAGATGCTATGCCAAAAAATATGCTTCAAGAATAATGCTATTGAAGATAGTCGTCGTCAATATCATTTTTTTTGTTTTCCAATAAATATGTTGATGTTTTGGAGATTGGTATCTTTTCGACTCATGAAATTTTATTTCTACGGTGTAATTCACATTAACTAATATTTTTCTAATTTATTTATGCAAATTTTTTTCAAATTTCGCTTAATTAAATTTAAAACAAATAATTTGAACTTTTTTTCGGCTTCTTTTTTCTTTTCGGCTGTTTACTTTCTAATACACAATACATAAAATTAACGAATATCAATAAAATGAGCATAAAAATGAAACCTTTAGTGAATCAAGACAAAGATTACTCGAACCCATTGGACGTAGCTCACCGTTTTTAGACCAACGCCACCATTGCTGACGTGCAGATTTTTGACATCGCTCAACAATCGCTCTTCCCCCATGTACAATTCGATCAATATTAGATTCACCCGTCAGACATAAATCTGTGCCACGCAAGATAATCTAAACACATTAATAAAAAGTGAAAACTATGAAGAAAGATTTTTTGAAAGATCAAATTGATGGATGGTTAATTCATTTTTTGACCAATTTGTTTTTGTCATTACAAATCGGAATAAACCTTCATGAGTTTTGTTCTGAACGAATAATTCCTATCAAAAAAAAAATGAAAATTAAAAAAAGGAATCTAGCCACTTTGTACAAAAGAACTACGTGGCAAACAGAATGTTAAATTTTTTTAATATAAAAACCCATCTCAACTGTTGAAAGAGCCTTACTTTTTTCTCTACTGCCATTTGGTGAGTTTTCCTATGTTTTCATAGAAAAAGCGCAAAAATTTTCTCTATATCATGTCTAAAAGATTTATTTCTACAAATTTTAACCAATTTTTGTTGATTTTTTCTTTTCAAACCACAGGACCATTTTTGGGGCTCCTTACTCAGATTTACAGCTTTTTGGAACGATATGGGTATCACGGCATCGATTTTCCCACAATTAAGTTCTTGACCAAAAATCCTCATCTTAGCAATCGCTAGTCAAACCAAAAAAGGCTTTATTAGAAGAACAGTGTATATATAAGAAAAAAAGCCAAAATAAGATAATATTACATGATATTTAGAAGTGCTATTCCAATAAAACAATCGAATTTCGCCTTGTCTTGGATAATTACCAGATAATAGTTCTGGATAGACATTCTCAAGGAACCATTTGAATGGCTTACATTGCAATTTTTCACGAATAGCCCTTCGCTCGGAAATATCACCATAATCGACGTCCCGTAAATTTGGTTTAGATTCATAAAACTTATCCTGCAATGAATTTTTTTCCTTTTTTATTTATAAAATTTCTCTTTTTCTTTCACTCGTTTTCACACTTTTAGAATAGATTTTTAAAGCATAAAATAGCTAAAATTGATGAGCTTTTTTTCATGAATTTTTTTAAAGCAATTTCACCAAAACCACAATTCTATCATATTTTTTTAAAAAAGACACGAACGATATACTCGTCCAACCATACATTGGCTGCTCGCAAAGAATTATAATTAAGCGATTCCGTGCCAACTCCGTAAGGTCGTCTCGAGCGAAAAATATGACCTACTCTACTACAAGGTATTATTTCTAATTGCCCTCCACAAAGCCATATCTAAAAATTGAAAAATTAAAATTTTTATAACGAATAAAAGAATAAAATCTTTAAAATAAGCAAAAAATACCCTTATTGAAATCTCAACATTTTCTGCTCCCCAAACATTCATCCCACTGTCGTATTGACCAATTTTATTGAAGAAATCTCGATCAATAGCAAAGAGTCCTCCAGCCATAGTTGCCGATTTTAATGGGGCCACATAATTGTGTGGATCATTGAAATACGATTGAACAGGATAGTCCCACTGAAAAACCATTGACCATGACATCCCTCCTTTACATACTGGCGATTTTATATATTTGAAATTAATTGAATCGATAATATCGATAACTGGACAAACGACGCTGCAAATAAAAATTTTATTAGTTACTTTTAACAAACACAGAGGGAATGCCAAATTCAATTAAACTGAAATTTCCAGAAATGTTCGACAAATATTATTCGCTTATCGAAAAAATTTTTATGCTAATAAAATTCATAATAAAAAAAAACAAACATTTGCGGATTTGCATTGATACGATCTAGAAGCGGTTCAAGCCAACGCTCATTAACCTCACAATGACTGTCAAGAAAGACTAAGACTTGTCCAGTAGCATGCTTTGCACCAAAAAGTCTAGCACGAATGAGTCCTTCATTCTTTTCAGTTCGAAGCATGCGAACTAAATCCGATGACCAATTTTCATGCGCATATATCTTTAATGATTCCACAGAACTTTCTGAAGTTTTTCAGCTTTTTTTATTATTGAAATATTAATAATATTATTATATTAAAATATTATTATTAAAATTTGACCATTTAAAAAAAAAAACCATTATTTTCAGTGGAAATCAAATGAAAATGAGATTTTGAAATTATAGATAGTAAATTTTTCAGTTACTTTTTCTGCTAACAGGTTTACAACTGGCAGAACAAAAATGAAAATGGATGGTGAAACATAGTAGATTTCAAAAAGTTTTTCACCTGAATCACTGGAATCATCGACAAGAATTATTTCTTGGATAAGGTTTGATGGAGTACGATCCAATATACTATTGACCATTCGAATAAGGGCAGATGGTGCTTCATTATAGTAGCAAATAATAATACTCGTCAGTGGTAAATCGTCAGGATAAGTTTCGTTCAAACATCTTTTAAAAAATTTTAAAAAAATTATTGTAGTTTATTTGACTTTGCTAAATATTAAGGCCACAAATCATTATTTTTATTTTTCAAAACTATAAGTCAAAAGATAAGATATAAGATAAAATCTTCAAGGTACAACTTACAAAAAACTTACAAATGATGCCTCGAATCTGGAATTTTTCTCCGTGGTCCAATACGCTGACTTAAGAGTTCATTAAATGCATATTTTTTCAAGCCGTCCTCGAATATCTTCTGTAAAACTATATAAAAGACCATATGCTATGCAGTGGAACTATGCAGCGCTTCAGTTTTTTTCGTTTATTAAAAATATTCGTTTTGTTTTACTTACACTCCTATGTAAATAAGAATAAAAAAAAAATTTTCGCAAATCGTTTTGAAATTTTAATTTTAATCTTTTAATCTGTAAATTTTAATCTTTTATTGACCTGAAATTAGCTTAAGATTCTTATGTTACGAATCGCTAATCCATGATAGAGGACAAAAAAGAAAAGAAAGAAAAAGCGGCAAAATCAGAAATGGAAATGTTGTCGTAAAAATATACCAAAAATAACATTCAATTCAACATCGACAAATTAAATTCTAAATTCAAGCATCTTTTCTCAGATTTTTTGGTCAATAACTTTTAGTTTTAAGATTTATCATATCTATTGCATTTTCCGTGACATGAAAAATTTTGGGAATTTTTTAGGGACCTAGAAATCCGCGAACTCCAGTTTGAGCTATAAGTAAATAAAACTGAAAAATTTTTTTAGATCTATCTTTATCCACTGCAATAAATAATTAAAAAATTAGATTTCAGCAAATTTTCTTTTAATAAAATTGTTTCAACTTTAATGTTTAGCTTAATGAAGGACGCTAGATCCTCATTTGCATTTAGTTTATTGCGATATTTAGTTTTTCGTTAAAGTATATGAAGAGAATATATGAAACTTCGCCTCACACAATGTAGTTGGAGCACTAAGATATCATTGAGCCCCTACTCAATTACAATTCCAAAAACAAGGAGCCTAATAGGTTACATATCTCATTTTTGGATGGACTTCAGAGCATGGATTTCAGGATTGGTAGAGTAAATCACTAAGACGATAGGAGAGTGATGCTTTACGATAGATAATTCTATACATATCTTTTATTGACTATAATTTCACCATCTCACTGTGGATTAGATAACCGAACAAAATTAGTTAAACAACAAATTGAATTTTATCAACCAAAGATATTATCGAAAAATGGCAAATTACCTGTTCATTTGCATCATTTACTTTAGCCAATTTAATAAGATCGACTTCCGGCACTTTATTCGGTGAAAGTTGTTCATCGAATATATCTTTCGATAGATCATTTTCAGCAGTCGATGTTAGTGCTACTAACGGTGAAGAAGGTTGAACTAATGAAATGATATATTTTCGGTTAGCTTCGGTAGACTTCGAATTTGAAGGATCAGTTCTCGATAGATCATTATCTATACGACGTAAATATGTATAAATTATAGCCACCCATAAAATCGTTAATAATACTGATAAGAGCATAAAATATCGTGCATATGCCATAGCAACAGCAAAAATAATGATTGTTAACACAAGTGTTAAGCATCCAAAATTATCGCTTCAACAACAGACCTGTGGAAAAAACTCTGATTAATGCAGACATTAGCATTCTATTAGAACGAAGAACCTATGCTATCCTTTTTTATATACTGACAAATGATTAAAACCATTAATCCTGAATTGTAAAAAAAATTACCCTGCTTCTAATGAAAAGATATGCGATGTTAACTCCACTCAACAACTTACAAAAGCTACTTTTCTTAAAAAATACCTTAACGGATTATTTAAAATGAATTGAAATGATAAAAAATCGATAGAAAAAGATTTATAAAGTAAGTGATTAGTGTCACTCTTTATGATTAGAATCCGTCATCCTCTGATGCCAGGGGTCCGCCTAGATCAGAATAAATCATCACCCCTATTCCAAATGACAACTGACTTTGGAGAAAGGGTCTCGATGATCGATGAAATGAACCAAGGCATAAGCTAGAAGAAGCTAAATGTTGAAAGCACTCTTTGCCAAAAAAATAAAATGAAAAATTTTAGTAAAAACGAAGCCGTAAAGAGTAACGCCGTCAAACTAGGGGTTAACTCTGCATTTCTTCCGTTTTTTCAAATAGTGCTCATTATTCCTGGTTTGGTTAGCTCCACTTTGAGACCCTTTCGCCGAGAATCACCTGGGAGAGAAGATGGATCCCCAAAGCCAGCGGCGAGATGGATCTGAAAGAAAAAAGGAAAAAAGAGAAAACGATAATATCATATGGATGTTGGCTGATTGGACACCATTAAAACATCGAATTAAATTTTTAAGAAAATTATGAGAAACGCGATTTTAAGAGAATGAAAACTCGTTTTTAGAACTTCAACGGCTTCAAAATTTGTTAAATATTGTCGATTTAACAGTCGCTCATCTCAAACGGCAAACTTTTGGCAATGCACAACCTGAAATGGAAACAGTCGAATGATAATTGCTTATCACTGGTGGCTCGAAGTGACACGACTAGCTTGTTTATCCGCGTGAGCTGGCGACTGGCGACTCTGTCGCAAAGCGACTCTGGCAGAAATTTCATATAGGACTAACAGAGAGCCTAAGCCAGGAACGATTAGCCACTTAATCACTTATTTCGAAAGTAATCGAATTGCTAAATCTAATGCAAAAAAGATTTCAACGACTAGGCGGAAATTTAAAAGCAAATTAGAACTTAAGCTTTGCGGCCCGTAGAGTTTAAACAAGATCCATAATGAATCCGAAGCTGCAATGTAGACCTGGCTTGATTGGCGGGAAAGTTTGTATCTGCATTTATAGTGGTTTAATTTCGCGAGTGGCGGTACTTTGCTAGTTGTTGGTCAGTGCCATTGGATTTGTGGGGATGCAGTTGATTGTCCGCCTGTTTTCTTTTATTTCACTGGGAGTAAGGTGCGCAGTAAGGTGAAATGGGTGATTGGGTGATTGCTGAGTACCACGGAACTACCACAGAAAGGGATTTTTGAATTTTATGGGATCGGACAGAAATCGGATGTGGAGCTGGGAATTTCTGCGTACGCTTTTGCTCCATCTATTAGTGAACTAAATTCTTGCAGCATCATAGTTTTACATAAATTAAAAAAATTTCGTGCATTAATTTAATTTTTTGATTTAGAACAATGGAAACAGCAAATACAAATAATTTCAGATGAATGTCGAGTCTTAAGTTATTTTCGAAACTGTTGGCACTAGTGCCGGCGTTTTCCAGTGACGTCACTGCATGTCACTACTTAGTGAAAATATATTGAGTCTTGAACGTCGCATAAGGCCAACAAAACTCCAGGAGAAGATGGTCTTCGGGCTGAGCTTTTCAAATTTTGTCCATCGTCCTTCATAACGCACCTTCAACAAATGTATTCTTTAGTATGGAAAAAAGGAATATTACCAGATGATTGGAGCAAAACTGCTCTGCTGTTCTTGAGAATTCTGCTCCCAATTCTCAAGAAAGGTGATAGGACATATTGCAACAATTATCAAGGAATCAGCCTAGACGTCTCAGCAAAAGTTTTTGCTTCCGTTCTACTCAACAGACTTATGGAAGTACAGGACAGTAGCATGCACCCTAATCAAGCTGGTTTCAGACCAGGGGGCGGTTGTGCTGACCAAATATTCACGTTAAGAAAGATGTTGAAACATTGCTTCAAATATTTGCAACCCACTGTCACGTGTTTCATCGACTTTGCGACTGCATTTGAGTAAATAGAACGGCGCCTTGAGGGTGATGGAACGCGACGCTGTTCCAGAGTAAATCATTAGACTCATAAAGGCATTTTATGAGCGCTCATCGGCGCAGGTTTGTATATATGGGGAGCTGACAGATTCCTTCGAAATAAGAACAGGTGTCCGTCAGGGCTGCGTCCTTTCCCGCACAGTATTCAACTATGCGATAGACTGGATAATGGACATTGCTTGTCGGCACTCAAGAGGTGTCCGAATTAGTCCAGAGCATCGTATCACAGATCTCGAATACGCTGATGATGTAGTCTTTTTGCTGACAGTTATAACGAAATGCAAACTAAACAATGTGTCAGAAACTGCAGCAAGAATCGAACTCATGATCAAAGACGAAAGTCTTTTCGTCTTATGTGCAAGAAAGCTGATAAAATGCCTCTTTTTGTGAATTTATTGTCGGTTGAGGAAGTGCCCGATTTCAAATATCTTGAGTCCACTCTAATACCAAATGGACAGGTAAAAGATGATATTAGAACTCGGATCACGGAAACTAGAAATGCGTTCTTCCGGTTAACTTTATGGAATTGTGAAAACATCATAAAAGCAAAAGTCCGCATCTATATTGCCGTGATCCATTCGATCTTACTATATGGTTCTGAATAGCCAATGAGAGCGGAGGATATTAAGAAATTATCTGCCTTTGACCACTCTTGTCTAAGGTACATATTACGGATCCGTCGAGCCGATGAAATATCACAAGATCGCATCCATCTTCGTTCAAATACCACTTGCATAAATAATGCTATCACAGAGCGCCGCCTTCGCTGGTTAGGGCATATTCTCCATTGTCCACCACACGAGTTGACGCATATTTCGTTATTTGCTAAACCGTGTGACGGTTGCGGTCAAAAGCGAGGTGGGTCAATCAAGACCTGGACTGATACGGTGAGAAAAGATTTTGAACGTATAGGTGGACCAGCGATATATGGACTTAGACGATCGAAAAAGGAATGGCTTCCATTACTGTCGATGATGGCATCAGACCGCGCTGCTTGGAAGTATCTTACTCTTGTAGCCCTTGGAGCCAGCCTAATCAGTAATGGTGAGATCTGTTAGAAGAAGAAGAAGAAGGAAGAAGAACGTTGCATAGGACCAAATTTTTCCGACGATTAAACCAGAAATTCCAAAATAATTAGCATTAATTATTTATTTTGAGAAGTATCTGATTATTGGGGTATTCAGTAATCATTTTACATGCGGCTACTTTCCTGATAGGACTCAACAGCCATCTTTAATAAAATTTACTGTTGTGCATGCTTAGAATCTAAACATATACAGAAAAAAAAGGACAAAATAAAATGGCTAAGTGGTTATTAGATCGAGTTATTCTTTTTGCCTTTGGAGGGATTCTTCTTCTTCTTCTTCTAACAATTCTCGCTATTACTGGTTAGGCTGGCTCCAACAACTACAAGGGTAAGACGCTTCCAAATGGCGCAGAGCCATCGTCGACAGTAATAGAATTCCTTTTTCCATCTATCTGACCATATCAGTCCAGGTCTTGATTGGTCCATCTCGCTTTTGACGCCATCCATCACACGGTTTAATAGGTAGTGAAATATGCGTCAACTCTTGTGGTGGAGAACCATCGAAGGCGGCGCTCTGTAATAGCAATTATTTAAAAAGGATTAAAAAATCGGGTAATGTTTTATTCGGGTTATCGGGTATTTCATCTGAACAGTTCTCTGTCTAACCATGTCAAGAATCGAACGAACTGACCTCTTAGTTCCTTATATTCCTCTTATTTATTCATCTACCACATCTTATTTAAGAGTATAGCGTGAAATTATTGTTCACTGTTTAATTACAGTCAAATCTTGTGTCTTTTGTCTGAAAAAGATCAACATTACAATGGGCATATTCGTTCGCATTTAGCCTATTTTCGATAATAGAACTGTTCATTTCTTGCGATGCGAATAAAGGTTGTTGTGTTTACCGCATAAAGATGAAACACGTCGTTGTGATTAGTTTATATCGATATGTTATTGATAACTCGCTCAGTAAAATTCAATTCAATTTTCGGCAAATTGAAATTCAATTTTTATTCAATTTTTTATGATTTTTGAATATAATATTTTAAATGAAATGCAATTTCTTTGCTTCCAGCCACTCCTTTCTTTTTTTATTAGCCTCCATCATTTCAAGAGGGATATCATTTAAAATAATTCTTGGCTTCATTTGGATTCTTATAAAAAATCGTTCATCATCGCACGAAAATTTCCATGGATTGTTATTCAGCAGTGACAAAAAATGATGTAATTAATATCGACGATGACGAGTATTTTAATATTGTACTTTGTTATTTGGGCTCTGCATTGTTTTTATTTGGTCGTTATCCAAGCACATGGTTATATGTCGTACTCGGTTTATAAATAAATCATAATTTCTAGGCCGACGCTGCTCAGTAATTTACTACTCATTTGGTTTTCGTCTCTTGGCAGTGATCAAGCCAGAAGTTTTTCAGAATCTGGAACACATGATTCTATATTAAGAAAACTTAATGGAGAATGTCGTGTAACCAGATCAAAAATTTCAAAAATAGCTAGCATTAGTTGCAGCAAGGCTAGCGATGAACGCTTTGTTAAATCATCAAATATTTCCTATAAACATGGTAGACTTGGTTATCCGATTGGAGCGTATGATTAGTGAAGTAACCTCAGCTGTGATTTCCTGTAGTAAAAAAGATGATATAAGCGAAAAAACCGAAACAACTGTCGACACTATATTTCCAAATGATAAAATTTTATCAGAAACAAAAGTTGAAGAAATTTCATCGTCGATATGCGAATCTAATGATGTAATTCTTGTTACTTTTGGTTGCTTGAATGTCAGTGTCAGAATTATAATAATTATGAAAATTCTTTGGTTTCGATCTTGAAAACGATTGGGAGATTAATTGCGAAATTTGTGGTATGGTTAGTGATTTTAGCATTTTATTTCCATTAATAATTAATAAATAATAATTCCATTTTAATTTCTAATTTTTATTTCAAGGGAAATTTTTTTTGTTAATTCATCATAATCATATCTTTTATGCTTTAAAATTTTTTTCTATCATTCGATGTATGGAAATTTGAACGAAATATTAATATTTAAGAGAAATTAAGAAAAATTGGCGAGCATTTCTTTCAGTTTTAGGAATCGAATCCTTTGTTTTAGTTATTAAAAAACGAATATTTATCGCGTAGACACCATGCATTTGAAGTGCATTTTATGAATAAGGAGAATAAGGGTGCGGAAGTCGAAAAATTATTAACGAATACGGTGAAAGAAAGCTTATTTTCCTCAATGCCTCGTTTGTAGTGATCTTCAGGTCTTTTCTAATTATTTTGATGTATATCTGTAAACGAAACGATGCATTTTTTTTGATTCTGATTGGTTACATTTTATTACCTCTAAATTTTCCGTTCTAATATTTTCACCATTTTTCATAAATTTCGCTTACTCCTATGATGCTTTTGTAATTTTATTAATTTTAGTGTACCCAATATGGCAAAGAATATTTTTCGAAAAAGCTCGTAGGATACATATAAGAATCCATCATCGACACATCGTATTATCTTGCATTGTGGAAAACTGCAATGTTTTGAAAACGTCATGGTCAGAATTGAAGAAACACTTAGAGATAAAACATCATTGGCTCATCTTTATAACCTACATCTGTTACCAAGCTAATTATATGCATTATGATAGTTTGCGAGTGATATACATCAGTGATATGATACTGATAATATATTGGTGGATCAGATCAAGTTTGGATTAAATTCTTTTGTATTTTATTAATATCTATAATTTAGAATTACCATGGAATCAAAGCAAAATTCGAGCAAAAACTGTGATTTGCAACAAGTCCTAATCGCCAAAAAAGGACTACATGATGAATCAGTGACTCATTAGGTATATATGTATGTATATACATGATAATTCAAGAACAATTTAAAGCAGTGGGTTGGTTTACCCAATAAAATTTATATTTGAATTTAATCTTCGAGTTTTTTCTGCTTCCATCAAAGTTCTGGACTCTTCTGGACCCAACTTTTCTAATTCAAGGCTATCCAATCCTAATCTTTTAATAAAACGATTCATATATGGTTGTATTTGGAAAATTGTAATATATAATAAATTATAATATAATTCATAATAAAATTGGCAATCCTTTATTTTTCTTGACTCTGCTTTATATTTGCAATTGGCACTTTGTTTTCTTGCCACGATTCCAAAATCACATTCATAAAATCTTATTCTACCGTATTTACCAGTGTTTACAAGTAAAGATTTATGACAATGAAAAGTTATGTTCTGCACCAAAAAATATAGTTTCTTGTAAAGATCTTTATTCTGATCACGCGTTATCAAATGTTTGGAAAAGAAAGCTGAGGAGTAAAGAGCAAAGGGTAATTATTGAATTTTCAAATCTGAAATATTCATTTAATTTCATCTAATTTTCATTTTTATTTTCGGTTTTGCATTATTTTTATTTCATTGAACGTTCATTGTTCATTGGTCGAATGTACGTCTTTTTTATAATGCACCATTTGGCCGGCCCCATCAGGCTTCCAATAGACGTTTGATCGGAGGAGGTAGGAACCTCATTGCATTTAACCTGCTCATCTATGTTAAGAATAAATCGCTACAAAGGGGCGCCGGCCCATGTTTGTCTTCGTCATTTGATTGCAAGCACGTCTCGCTACTCCTTGTAATGGATGGCACACCAAGGACCAACTAGAACATGGACCCATACGGCCAAAGAGGATATTGAACGCATAAGTAATTTAGCGACAGTCCTGGACTTTAAGGAAAGGATAGCTCCACCATTTAGTTTCAGGAATCGCGTCAAATTGGAAGGCCTGGAGACCCCAGCCACCAGTGCAACAAAGCGCCAGAATGATGCTTCGGCTAATGCTTTATCGACCAACAAATCGCGGTCTACAATTCCCATTTCTGTCTGCAATCGCAGAAAATACTTCCGTAATTCCGATTTTTAAATAAAATCAGATATTGAGAAAAAGCTGTTATTTATGAATTAATTTTCCAATCAAATACCAAAAAAGAACATCGTAAAATGATAACAATAAATGAGCGAAAAGCACAATTTCATAATTTCAACAAATAGAAAATAAATCAGATGAATGATAATAAAATAATTTTAACGGTTTAGAACAAATAAATTAAAAAAGCTGAAAGGAAATTAACAACCCTTTTCCCTTCGTCCTCGCAACGGCTTTTCCCGTTTCTTAATGCTATAAAATGACCGGAAAAAGAACGGCATATCTTCAGCCGCCTTCATTAAAAGAGACATTGGATGGAACAGATATTTGGATGTGCGGCAGCCATTCGAATTGCATTCTAAATGGCGTGTTTATTCCCGTTTACGTTGCATTAACGTTTTTATCCAAATAAAGGTCCCTGCGAGATGATAATGAGATTTTTTCTTTAATTTCCCAGTGAAATTACCATAAAAAATTGGAGAAATACTTGGTTTCGAAATAACTTTATTCAATGCTTAAAGCTATTAGATTGATTTAGAATTCAAGGCAATAAATTCTGAAAAATCGTTACAAAATACACTCATTACAAAATGTACTAAGTGAGCGCGAACCACAACTATGTTTCAAATTCGTTTAATTTTTTTCCAGCTCTTACAATTTTTCTTGATAATTTTTATCAAAATAATAAGTCAAAAAAACTCGTCTTCGTCAGCTAACTCGTTTTTCCTCAATATGTTTCCCTCATCAACATAATTTTATGCAAAAACAAAAGAAAAAAGTGGTCTCTATTCAAAATATCATTAAGATGAAGCAAAAAATGCCAAACAATGTTTCGACAGAATTTCTTCTCTAAAAATAAAAGGAAAGAAAGATGGGAATTTTTAAGTTCACAATTTCTTACGTATTATGACTATGGACTATTGGTAAATAATAGCAATAATAATAATAGTCATCATGTCATGGAGGAAGCAAGAAAGAATAAAGCAATAAAAAACTGAACTGCAAAAAAACTTTAAAACACTAACGCATATCAAGAAAATAGCAAAAGAAAATTTCATCAAATAAAATTTTAAAAAATACGTGGCTTCAAAATAACCACAAAGCGGAAATTTTTCTCTGTTCAATATAAAAACCCTGATAAACTCAATTCATACATTTTCTGAATGAATTTTATCTCAAAAAATTTCACTCCTGAGCCTTAAAAAAATCAATATCAAACGAGATATTGCAAACAAAAAATATAATAACAGCTAAAATGAAAGCGAAAATGTTGAAAAACCCGCTATCTGTGTCAGCAACAAGAGGCCATAAAGAAGAAAGAAACGGGAAACCACAAAAGGCACTTAAATAATTCACCAATTTCAGTAAGCAACCACAAATTATTTCCAAGTATTCTGGCCCGAACATTCGCTTGGCCTAAAATACCACAAAATATATAAAAAACAAAAAATATATAAAAAACAAAAAAAGATGCAATGAGAATCGGTAAAAAACCCAGCCAAAACATTGGTGGAAATTTGGTATTTAAATTACTATTACAATGGAATAAATACTAATAATATGTTTAATATTGCGAACCGTGGAGTACTTATTTCCATTGGATCGTCCACACATACCCAACTTGAAGATTCACTTTGCCTATTATTGGTATCGACTGATGAACTGAAACAAAATGGTGATAACCACAAAGATGCAAAAAAATGCATGGAAAAAACTAATATGCTTTGAGAAAAACCCACTATTGAGATTTTCGAGATGGGCGGGTTTTCGAGATTGTAAGTAAAGGTCGACTTTCTTCCAACAAACTTGGTGCAACATATGTGAAGCCTTCAAATGGGTTGACAGAAACTGACAGATTTTGTTCACAAGGAGAGTCGACTGGTGTCATTTTCGTGAATTTTGTATCAAAAAGAGATGTGTCTTCTTCACAGGTAATTTCCGGTTTATATGGAGGTTCCAACTGAAATATCTTATGCAATGAATTCAGCAAAATCTTGAAGAAAAATGGAGCGCTCATCTCCTTTTAAAGATTCCTTTTGAATATCAAGATTGAAAAATTATCATGATAAAACTTCAAACTTACTTGACGAGCATAAACCACATCCCAGTCAAATTTGCGAAAGAACGGATGTTTTTTTATGTCATCTGCATCTCCTTGTCCAGCGCCCAATCTTGTCTCTACATGTCGTTTTAAGAGACGTTTAATAAGATCTCGAGCTTCGGGTGATAAATAAGTTGGTAAAGTGAGGCGTCCTTTCAATATTTTATCAATTGTCTTCTTTCTGAACAAAATCACTTTTCCATTTTGAAGTACATGGATGATAATGAAATGGAAGTTCGTAATAATCTAGTTTGAATCAGAAATGGCATGTAAATTACCTCGTATCAGCTGTAAACGGCGGTCCTCCGGTAAGCATATCGAACATCAGAGCACCTAAACTCCACCAATCGACAGCTTTACCATGTCCAACTCGCATTAGAATTTCTGGTGCCATATACTCAATCGTGCCGCAGAATGTATGGGTCTTTTGATCGCCTTGAATAGCTTCCTTACATAAACCGAAGTCGGTTAACTTAACATGTCCTGCAAGATATCACTATATATCGCTTCATAACCTATCGATCACGAAAAATACGAAAAAAAATTATAAAAATGCATTACCCCGACTATCTAATAGAATATTCTCAGGTTTCAAATCCCGATATATGATTCCTTGCTGATGAAGATGTTCCAGTGAACACACGATTTCAGCAAGGTAAAATGCAGCATTATTCTGCAAAAAAAGTGCTATAAAAAGGAAAATATTTTTTCTAATAATGTGATTTTCTAACGTTAAATGTATTCAAAACATTCACTCAGTAAATTTCCTCTTATGTGAGAAAAGATTATCGACTTAATCAAAATATTTGTGATATTTGATCTCATTGCTATCGGTTTAAAGGACTTGTTAGTTAGTAAAGTTGAACCTGCAGATATGGCGTATGCGATTAGAAAACAATTGGGTTATTAGACAAAATTTTTCTTTATAATATAAGATAATCATATGTTACAAAATGTATTTTATTAGAAATAGAATTCATTTTGAAAGAGTCACCTCCATAAATATTCCTTCACGTTCCAGGTGCATGAATAATTCTCCACCACTAAGATATTCGAGAATTAAATATAATTTCCCACCAGTTTGAAAAGCGTAATTTAAATCACAAATAAAAGGACTCTGAAAACAATTCGATTTGATCCATAAAATACTGATTGCTTTTTAGAAGTATAATCGCCGAATCCTTTCTCACAATAATTATTATCGGCCATAAATTAACCCTAAGCCCTCTTGGAAATATTTTTTCCTACTTTGGTATAACCTAATGCATTTAAAATCTAAACAACAAATTAATCTTAAGGTTAACCATTTCACAAATATCGCTTTCTACTTTACGTTATATTTATATTAATATTCCATTCAAGTCGCACAGAATAAGAGAATGAAAGAGAAACCTTAACTGCTTCAAGAATATTCCTTTCTGCTTTAGTATGAGCTGTATCTTTTTGGCTCCTAATTATTGTCGCTTTTTTCAATACTTTCATTGCAAATATTTTTCCTGAATCTTTTCCACCAATCTTCCTCACTTGAAAAACCTGGAAAACCCAAGTGCAGATACTTTTCAAAATAAAAATAGGCCACAATTTTTCATCTTAAATTAAGATGAAAACTCAGTTATTCATTAAATTTCTGGAATTGCATAAACGTAGAAATAATTTTAAAATGAACCAGCGGATTACTTTTTAAATTGATTAATTAACAAAAAAAAGCAGCAAAAAATCGTTTACCTTGCCGTAACCACCTTTTCCAAGAACTTTCAGCAGTCTAAAACTTTCTGGACCAACGCGATTACCATCTGGAGGATTCACCAATGATTCATCTATATCAAGAGTTTCCACATTCGGATCTGATCTAAAATTTCGGAAACTGGTTTATAATTCTTAGATTCACCACCCCTTCTAAATCTAATTTTAAAATTTCACTGTACATATGAAGACCACTGAGTATCATATCTTAAAAATTTACTTGGGTTCCAATATATAGAAATTGTTATATAGATATTTTAGTTCAGAAAAAGGCTGAAGAATTTTTCTTGCCGTATTAAATGAATAACGAATAGCACGATGCAAATAATGCAAGGGCGTTGAGATTCAACTGTATAGTCTTCTTTTAAGAGATGCGATTAAAATTGAAATCCAGATGATTTTGGAGAACTCATTTGTAACTCCAAACAACTTTTTACAGAAATAATTTTAGAGCAGCAAGTGCACAAGAGAAATGATTCCCACAACTACAGAGAGGAAAAAGTTACAAATTAAAAAATAAAAATTGCTTACATATATGAAGAACTAGGTGGTGGATCTGAGATTTCTCCCTGAAAATTGTTCGAATTTTTTTTGTTTTATCCAAATTATTTATGCGAAAACAATAAAAATGATAAAGTTTTCGATTCAATTAAATAACTCCACTGATTTACATAAATAAATAAATACTTTTGTAAAAACACGATGCCTTTTTTACTCATATCTATCATTGCATATCATCTAAATCAATCGATTCAATTGATCGATTCAAATCATTTGCACTTACAAGTGTATACTTTTCGATGATTTTTTAAATTTATGAATAAAATGGTACAGAATAATGTAATAAAAAAAAACTTAATGAAACTGAACACGATTAAAAACAGCAAAGAGAGAAAGAAAGAATAAAATAGCACGAACTAGAAGGAACGATCAACGATCGGACGAACTTATCAAATAATTTCCTTTCCTTTGTATGTGTATGGTATGGAAGAATTTTCTCTAAGAGCCAACAAGTAGGGTAAAATTAGTGCCGTATATAAAACAAAGAAAAGCTCGATAATAATCACAATAAAACTTAAAACAGTCGGATCATCCCATTATTCCACTTATATCTATATGCACTGTGAACCCTTTTGGCGAATATTGTGGACTAACCAGAATATCGCATAAAATAAACGACACTAAAATAGCGGTATGATATGTGATTTTACTGGTGAACTAAATCGTTTAAGTGAATAAAGATTAAATTTTAAATTTAAAGAAATTTTCTATTCAATTTCAAGGATCTTTTAAATGAATGGACATCAAAAATTAAGATATGTCCCAAGTTAACAGCCGATGGCTAAGATATATTACAAATTAAGCTTAAATTTATGAGTTATTTCAAAAAAAATTAACAATTAAGGAACAATTTAAAAAGGAAAAACCAACAAAACTGTAATAAAGTAAAATTTATAGAAGTACTAACATCAGCGACATTTCGATATTCCTGAGCATCCTGTTCCATTTCATCATCATCAATTGATTTTTGATCAGGCAATTCTATAAAAAACCTTTGGAACAAATTCACTAAACTGGATGAATTAATAGCTCCATAAAATTGAAGAAATTAAGGCGTAACAATATTAATAAGAAAAAACAACAGAAGCCTCGAGAGATTAAGATATTCGAGTGGTATGCTGCTTCGAATATAAGGTTAAATTATTTCCTATCCACTGACGGTAACTTGTCAGTGAAAAAGAAACCATGATAAGGCTCATAACTCGTTTGTACTTCGATTTTCAATTAATTCTTCAATAAGCCTATCTCATCTACTAGTTAAAACCAGCTGCTAAACCAGAAATGGCAACCGTAGTTGGAAAAAAAAACAGAACCTTTATACTTATCCAACAAAAAAAAGACCGATTAAAAATTCGGAAAAAAGCGTTCTTCCTCATTTCAAATGTTCTTTAATGCTTTTGAATACCCCAGCGATATGTGGGCTTAGAAGGTAGAAAAAAAGAAGTTCTACGTAATTTCAGATAGGGCCGAGAGAATAAATATGTCACTTCTAATTAACGAAGTTAGCCAAATCAAAAATTGGGCGCACCAGCAGAACAAGAAGATACTAAAAATTTCATGATTTTAAGATTCTATAAAATCTTTCAATACATATATGCAATTTCTAGTTATCAATCTCAACCGAAAAATTTCAAAAGAATTTTAGAAAATTTTTAAAAATTTCAGAATTTTCAAAAAAATCTTGGAAAATTACAGAAAGACTTCGAAAAATTTTAGATTTTGAAAACATTCTAAGAATTTTGAAAAAGTCATTGGAAATTTTTAAAAATGTCTAAATATACGGAAGAAATATTTTGGCAAATACAACGATAGAAAAAGAAAAGAAAAGAACAACAATGGAAAGACAAGTAAATGAGATGGGACATCTTTCACTTCCGTTCATTCGTATTTGGGGAGCTATTGAAACTAAAAAAAAATTAAAAAATTAATTCTCGGCTGCAACTCGTTATGTGGGAAATAATTTCTTCCCAATTGCTTTTTCTTCTTTTTTTGGCAACGAAAATAATATAATTATCAATCAAAATAATATTCAAAAATGCTAGGAAAACTATCTTTGAAAGGTGAAATTTCTTTAAAACGAATAGCAAATCAATTAATAACGTATCGCGTTTACCATTTTCCTTTAGGCATGGTCTTAGCTCACCATTTTGATTAGGGCTCCTCCACTGGGTCAATACGATTAAAACGATTTTTACCGTGGAACCAATTAGGGACAGAGGCAGAATAGATAGAAATATGCTATCCTCGCATCCTCAGCACTACCCTGATTTTTTTAATGACTGGTTCATTTCTATTGGACGCATGGTCCAAATCCTGACGCTCGAGATGGTGACCTAAGCAACCGCCATGCCAAACATTTTTCTTATATGGGAAAAAGTTTGGTTAAAAATCTAAATTACCTATAAATCTAATAAATCTAAATCTAAATTAATTACAACTGAGAATACCAAAGAATTCCTGAGTGACTAAATAAAGAGAAAAAACTTCAAAATTTTTATTACAAAGTTAAAATTACAAAGTTATTTTCATTTATCACTTTTTTATTTATATTTATATAGTTCAATTTTTCGCAAAAAATTTACCGCAAAAATATTCTCAATTATTATTTCAAAAGTAATGTTTTTTTAGAAATATATAATAAAAATTTACTGACCGACAAACCGACGTATATAAAGCTAAACTGATAGACTATATTAATGTAAAAACATACTGAAATAATAAACCAACAAAACTAACCAATATCGAATACAGCAGCCATGGAAAACATGGAATGAAAATTTCTCCGTGTTCAATATTATTAGCTGGCAATAAATATTATTTTCTATAAAGAAATCATTTATTTTTATATTTAAAAAAATACATTTTAGAAGCACAAATAAACACGAAATCCCTTAAACATGTACCGCAGAAGGTACCGTTTCATCCTCTCTCGTTCAAAGTCCACTTTCCCGACCAATGAGTACCATCCATCTTCTGGCTTTCTCAAGTTCCACAATTCCGAATTATTCTCTCAAAAACTCCTGATTCATTCCTTCTCCTTAGAAAAAAATTTCAGCCCTATACTGATTGCCTAATCCTCGGGGAAATATTCAATCACAATTACGTCAAACTATACACTCTTCTCAGACTTAGAAATCACAGATTCCGAGTGTTTCCTCCCCAATAAATAACCTACAATTACTTTCCCTCGGTCCATTTTCCCTCCACAAGCACCACCCCTCTCCCCCTTTTCCACACCCCCCTCACCTAACCCTCTCCTTTTCCATAATCAATTCGTTTAATGGCGATGACACATCAATCAACGCACCGCCCACAAATACTCTGCTTCTCTAACCCAGTCGTCTAATTTTCTATAACTGATAAAGTCGGCGGCTAATATGTTATACTAATTAGCGGCCGCAGATCATGAACATCAAGTCAAATTATAAAATATAGTAGTGAAGGGAAGTGAAAGTCGGTACGGCAGATTGAATGAGCTGAGATAAGGAAAGGAATGAGACTTGCAAATGATGCACGGGATATGCAAGGGACATGCACGGGAATGCATGGGACACGCACGGGACATGCACGAGATGTGCACGAAAATTGCTTTTGTCTGTGTCAACCAGTTTGCTATCGTCACTAATTAATTATTGATTCATCGTGAATTACGAAAATATCATATCTAAACGTTCAATTCGTCGTCTTTGAATTCCTATTTTCGATGCCTGTCGCTATGAAGTAGCCGACTGGCCCAGCCGTCCTCCACCTATACCAGCCAAATGCTTTTTCAGGCCCGTAAGCCTCATCGAAATGCCTCATCCTACCAAATAATGGAGCCAACAAAATTGTTCGTATTCAACCTTCAAAATTTTCAGCAACTAAAAAAGATCAGCGACAAAATCGGATAATTACTGTGATATAAATTAAATTAAAACAGAAAAGTGAGTAGAATGGCTCAGTGGGTTGTTGCTCAATTCAGAGCACTGATGCTGTGGTTCTATTCCCCGCAGGAGTGAACCTACCCAAAAACCCGAGTGGTGCTGGCGTTTGCGCCTCTATCGCCAAAGGATTTTCTAGCACATTTGATAAGCTAGCAGAACGAGTCTAACCAGTAATAGCGAGGGAAAAAAAACTAGAAAAATTGAATGGCACCACGATCTTTTTCTAAAAACATTAAACAACATTAATTAAAACTTTATTTAAAACGATGAATAAAAATCTCTTTTAGCAGAGATAAAATTATTGGACGATGATGGTGACCTATTTATCTGTCCAAAAAAGATTCCATGATAAAAAGGTCTCGTTCCAAGGCCAGTGGACCCAACCGAGTCAGAAATGGTGGCTGGCTCTGGAAAAAATTGGGGAACAATTAACAGCGAAGTAATTTGAAAAGATAACGAATAGATGTTAGAAGGTAAATATGACTGGTTACTCAGGGTAGGAAGTTTCCAAGTTGCAATAAATGGACGATTGAATCACTTAATCGTCCAAATCACTATCTTTTATATGGTTCAGTAAAGAAAGGTCAGAATTGCATAAGGTCAAAGGTGAAATTCTAACCAGAAATATTCCTATTTTTCAACATTTGTAGAATTGCAATCAAACTGTGGTGAAAATACATACAAGAATGAGTGGTTAAACTGTGCTTTCCTGGTTCAGTTAGTTCCATTGGCTTTTAGTACGGTTAAAACTTTTGCAAAGAAGAAAAGATTTGATAAATTATAAGTACCAGCAGCATCGAATTTTGCACGTATAAACCTATCTTCTTTCTTCTTCTAACAGCTCTCACCATTGCTGGTTAGGCTGGTTCCAATTGCTATGAGGATAGGAAGTTTCCAAGTTGCGCGATCTGATGCTATCGTCTACAGTAATCTCCTTTTTTCCATGTTCTAAGTCCATACATTGCTGTTTCAGCCATACGTTCAAAATCTTCCTGACCGTATCCATCCAGGTCTTGATTGGCTCACCTTGCTTTTAACACCACTCATAACAGGGTTTGCAAGTAAATATGCGTTATATGTCCTGCACTCTCATTAAACATGTCTCGAAGCCATATAGCAAAATCGAATGAATCTATATAGATGCGAACTTTCGTTTTTATGGTGAATCCACGAAGGCTCCATATAGGTTTCGTCAACCGGAAGAACGAATTTTTAGCTACCGTTATCCACGATGTAATTTCGTCTTTTGCTTGGTCATTCGATATTAGAGTGGATCTAGAATATTTAAAGTCGGACACGTCCTCAACCAGTAATGAATTGATAAAAATAAGCATTTTATCAGCATCTTGTATATGAAAAGATTTCGGTTTATTTTATGTTTATTTACACTGACCCTGAGTCCAATTCTCGCTGCAGCTGCTAACATGTTAGCAGTATTTGTATTTCATCATAACTGTCAGCAAATAGGACTGCATCATCAGCGCATCTGTGATAGATGGATGGATTTGGACACCTCTTGAGTGCCGATAAGCGGTATCCATTATCCAGTCTACCGCATAGGTGAATATTGTAGGGAAGCCTTGGCAGACACCAGTTTTTATTTCGAAGGAGTCTGTCAGTTCCTCATATACACCGACATGCGCCGACACGGACTTGCTGATAACATGCCTTTGAGTCGAGTGATCTTCTCTGGAACATCGTCGCATTCCATCACTTCCAAAGCGCCGCTATCAATTGAATCAAAAGCAGTTGCAAAATCGATGAATTACATGACTGTAGTTGCAAATATTTGAAGCAATGTTTCAACATCCTTATTAACGTGAATAACATAACCCCGGTCTGAATTTGGCTTAAGGCTTTTGCTTTCTCATACTGCCATAAATATATTGAGTAAAAGGGAGGCAAAAATTTTCGCTAATTTTCGATAAGTTTAGTAGGCTGGTTCCTCGATAATTGTCGCAGTATGTCCTGTCATCTTGCTAGCAGAATTGCTTTGCTCCAGCCATCTTGTATATTCACATTAGCAAAAAATGCTATTCGCCAGTTTTTCATTCATATGAGTTCTATCTAATTTTTACCATGAATAATATTTTATATTTTATTCTTTACAAATGGGAATTCTGAGTATATTACGGATCATCTGTATCACTTTTAATGATTTACTCCCATCACAAATTAACCACAAATAATACTTTAGTGTAATAAATGATGATGAGTGGTGCTTGGCCAGGTTTTTCATTCGTCATTGGCGATATCTGAAAATTGGACACAATCCAACTGGAAAATGTCACTTTCATGAATCTGCTTATCTACGATGAAAAAAATTTTTAAAATCAAAAATATTTTGACCATTTTCAGCGGTGCCATTCTTGATGTGGTACCTTCATTTTGTGAAAGGTAAATCATCCATCCAATTCTGAATGATAGCAACAAAACAATGCAAGCTAAAAAAGTAGAAAAAAATCGGAGAATCGGTATCACCACATATGCCACCATTCGTCGATATACTATTTCAGTTGATGCTAGGATAATTCCGATCCTTTAATAGAAACAAACCTAATCTACCGCCAAAAATCCGGATAAAAGTTGAAGATCTATCGATATCTCTGCTTCCAACTGATTGGATCTTAAATTAGAAGTGAGCCAAATCACAAATGGTGCACGATAAAATTAAAATACGAATCCAAATATCACTAAAAGAAAAATTCAGATTCCACAGAACTGGCTGGTTTTTCGCGAAAATCGCTTTTTCCATTGAAAACAATAATTTCAATCCAACGAACCGGTTATTTTAAGAAAAAATTCTGAAGAAAATAAGAAGTAAAGTGATAAGAAAAATTCCAGAGGTTATCAAATAGATCTCTCTTAGATTATAACAGTATGGAATTAAATGGATACGATGTGATGATTGAAATGATCACTATGGTTTTAGCTTTTCTTTGATGGCACCGAACAGCACCATTTTTGTTGTAAAAAAACAAAAAATTAAAATATCGGATAAAAATTGTTCCACTAATTTCCTAAAATATAAAAGTGCAAAATCTGATTTAAAAATTTTTGATTTAATATATTTCAAAAATTATAAATTAAGAAAAATTATTCAAACTGTAAATTATAGTTGTATTAAAATTATATTTTGAAAAACATATAAGTTCGATCACGGAAAAGAACTAAACCTGTTATTGAAACTCAAGTGGCTGCTGGAATTTCGTGCACTCGTAACTCCCAAGTGACCTCACCTCACCTCACCTCACCTCACCTCACCTCATTAAGAAGTGGGACCAGTTAAACCAGAAATGCTGTCAGAAAAAGAACTTTAAAAATACAAAAAAATCAAGGAATTTAACATGAAAACAGGAAAAGAAAACAATGGTATGCGGGCATAGTGAGCGTTTTAGATTTTCATGTTGAAGGACCAGTAAATGTGCCATTAAAAAAACCAGGTGGTGCTGGCGACTTGCGCGCATTTCTACTGTCAAATGGCCCGCCAACCCCCAACTGCGAGTGGACCTAGCCTACCTAGAAATGGTGAGCGCTAAATATTAACAATAACAATAATTAGCTCGGTAATCACAATCATAGTTGGATTTGTTAAATCGATGTCCAAATTTGCCTCAAATTGTAACTTCCAGCCGTGAATCTTTCATTCGAAATCTTCACCGAATAAGTAAAAAAAGCTCAAATATTTAAAAAAAAAGGGTTAACGAGCCACATTGTGTTTTTAAATTTATTGTCAAATTATAGTGACATTTCACGTTAATTATTCATTAAATAAATAAGGTTAGCGTTTATTTTTGGTTGGACGCACTCGAGAGAAAATTAAGTCGGACGAAACAATCTCACC